CTATTTCCATTTTTAATTTTATCTATTTCTAATTCTCCTTCCAACTAGCTGTACAAACGTGGACGCGTCACTGTCCCTCTCTGGTCTTAGTTTCCTCATCTAAAAATGAGCACATCAGATTAGGTCTAAGGTCTGTTTCACCACCGATACCAAGTGTCTGGTACAGCGAGTGACATGTAAAGTGAGGTGAGTGGCAGACACAGTCCCTGCCCTCATGGATGTGAATTGGGAGATCTGCCTAAGTCACAGGAGAGGTCAGAGGGTGAGAAGTGACTAGCCATCTACATAAGATGGGGAAGAATAGTCGAGGTGGAGAGAACAGGATATGCAGAGGCTCTGAGGTAGGAAAGAAGTTAATGTTTAAGGAACTGACAGTAAGCCATCATGGCTGGAGTAAATTGTGTTCAGGTAAGGTATGTACTTGAGATATATTTATGAGGCAAAACCATCAGCCAGAAAATTATCAGTAGCTACCAAAGGCTGTAAGCATTTAAGGGGTCAGCAAAGGATTGGGTAGTGTGACATCTCATGCCAAGTTAGCCCAGACTCCTGGTGGCAACAGAGAAGGTACTTTCTAAAAACAGGCGGTTTCTTTTTCTTTTACACACAGAAAGTGGGAAGGGCCTCGGTCCCAGCGTTAATGGCTGTAGCCTGCGATATCTGGCAGGTGAAATTACCAAGAGGGGGTCATTGATGCCCTCAGAACCTTGCCCACCTGAGCTTCAGACAGCCTATTTTGGAGCTCACCAGCAAAGTGTGTGTGTTGAGACAGATGCCGATGCGTGCTGAGACTTGTCTGGACTGAAGATTTAGTAGCGTGGTCAGGCACGGAGACAACACAGCTCTCCCTTTTCACCAGAGGCTTTTATGTGTTAGGTAGCTCATAACTTCATGCTCCCTCCTTCTCTCCCTGTTAACAAGAAGCCGTTGGCTTTTAGCGCCTCCTATATTCTACCGGCAGACTAATCTTCAAAGGCAATTTTGGTCCTGTCTTTCCCCCACCCATGAACCTACGATAACTCCCTTTGCTTGTTGCATCAAATTCAGAATTCATAGTCGAATTCAAAGCTTCAAACGAGCTCCAGACTTCCTCCTTGTATTATTTTACTTTTGTTTTTAGTCCTACCTGAGGATATGCCCATTGATTTAAGAGGGAGAGGGAGGGAGAGAGCGAGAACATCCATTGGTTGCCTTCTGCATGTGTCCTAACCTGGGCTGAACCCAGCACCTTTCAGTATACGAGACAATGCTCCTATCAACTGAGCCACCCTGGCCGGGACCAACCTTTCTTCTTTTAAACCCCAGCCAAAGAATATACTTTAGTTGTTTTGATATCTTCAAGACCTGACCTTACCACCCTCAGTGAGTACCTCCCTCCAGCCCAGGGTGTCGTGGGAAAAGCTGAGTGACCTAAATGCACCCAACCCCTCCAGATGATCACCAAGGAGTTTTCCTACGTCAATATGTAGTGACCTGCCTGTGTTCATTTCTAACGAGGGTGCTCTTTAACTGTCTCATGCATCTATGCCCTCTCGGTGTGCTTTAGGACCTAGGATCAGGGACCTAGTCTGTAGATCTTGTTGATCAAATCCAGGGCCGGATACTTAACTGCTGCTGTAGAATGCAGCAGATTTAGAGTCAGATTGATCTGGCTTTGAATGGCAGTGCTCTCACTTACTGGTTTATGACCATGGGAAGGTTATCTTACCTTTCTGAGCCATATTTGTTATTTTTAGGCTTCGGCATTGGTTTCCTCCTAGGCCGAGAGGGTAGTGACACGAAGGAAGCACAGTGCCTTAGTAGATTTCCCGTTAGGAATTTTTGAACAAGCAACCTAGGGGCCCCCGGGTTACTATTTTCTACCTTCTGAATTTAAAAACTATTTGATAGAATTGGAATTAGGAGGAGGAAAAAAATTCTGGCAGAAGTGAGCTTGGGAAGGAATGTTGTTCTGGAGAAATGTGCCCAAAACCTAGAGAAAAACAATCCATTCTGCAGAAAATTATTATAAGCCCGTGCACTCTTGGCTCCAGATTTGACTTTTCTGGTGAACAACATCTGACAGATGTATAGTCCTAAGATGTTCAGTGATGGTATTTAACCTTCAAAGTCAATCTCAAGACCTCACCTGACCTCATTAAAAAAATAATGAGCTATATACCCAGAAGTACATTTGGTTTTTGGATGGCAGTTTGCACTCCTAAGTTTCTCCGGTAATCGGATTGTGTGGGTCGTGACTAATCCTCACCGTCTTCCTCCTCTCCACTTCCCCAAGCCCCTGTGTGCCGGGGAAGCTGAGCCACGCAGAGTTGGTCTCCATAAGCTGAGATGCACATCTCAAGTCTTTGTTAGGCATTTTAGTGTCAGGTAGCTCTAATTCAAATCCCAGTTCTCCTTGGGTGCAGGAAACTGCTCAGTAGGCAAGTTATTTTACCTCTCTGAGCCTGATTCCTCAGCTAGAAATGACGGAATTTTTGTTGCGGCTCAAGCACAATGCCTGCTTCGTAGTAGGCAGTCGGTGACTTTTGGTTTCCTTTCCCAAGAGTGCCACACTGGCATTCCGAGCACTGTTTATTTACCTAGTCTGTCTCATCACAATATTTAGTGTCTGGGTATTATAATGCATAAGGAATATGTGAGATATTTTTAAACACAGTGTCTTATACTCAGAATTATCACAGAGCCAGTCAAAAAGAGAAAAACAACATCCACATTGCTCACATTCAGCAAGTCATTTGATTTGAGGGCGGCTTAGATATTTAAGTTAGCGTAAGTGTAAGTGACAAGATTCTCAGTAACTTCCAGGTTGCAGCAACTCTTCACCTACTTCTCGGTCATGTTTTTATTTCTAAATCCCGCCTGTATCCTAATTACACACCTGTCTGTATCTGAGGTAGCATGTCTGTCAGTGCAACAAGGGAGCAAAGCTTCTGTAACAAATGACATCATCTGCCCTGGGGGAAGTCATTGCCAATGCACGCAACTCAGGCACAAATGCAACTCACACGACTCATGCACACTCACACACTCACTCACTCTGTATTCGTTAGTACTGTGGGTTGCAGCGGACAGATCCTATTCTGAAATTAGGGAAACCATTGCAAGGGACATCTCCCAGAATAGCTATGCCCCTGAAAGGGTTGGAGCAGTTGGGCTTCGGGAACAACTAGAACCATGAACTTGATTCCTTTCTCCCCCGTGGACTTCTCATTGTCTTCGTAGACTGGCCGCTTCATCCCTTTATTCCGCGTGGCAAAGGGTCCCTAGTCCAAAAGTTTGGAAAGAGACACAGCGATATGTAACTTGTATCAGATGCTCATCCTGCACCAGTCAGTTATGCCCAGGAGGGCATGGTCATGTAAAGACACAGTGGCTCCTTCGAGAATTATATAGATGAAGTGGGACAAGGAGAGGAGCACAGAAGGGGCGTGCGGAGCACAGAGTTCCCGAGGTGCTCACACACCCATCCCGCCACCCCAGGCGGTGGGGTCTTAGCTGGGAATACAAAAAATTACTCCCGAACTGAGAGGTTGGTTGCAGCCAAGTAATGGGAGACAGATGTGCAATTAAATAACTGGAATAGAGTGGTGTTGGTTTTGTAATAACGGGTGTAACAGTGAGGGTGAAGAGTGGTGTAAGAATGGAAGTAGAGCATGGGTGGTCAGTTAGGTTCGATGGGACACACCAGCTTCTGCTCGCAGTGAAGCCTGCACATTGCAGGCTTCTTGGAAACACTTGAGCCAGTTGAATTACTGTCAGGTACCCTGGGGACTAGGGATAGCCTTGGCATTTTCTGAGTAGAAGCGTCATGTGCTTTTTTATTCAGAGGCCTCTTCATCAGAATACCTTTCTGAATTATTCATTGAGTTCTTTTACAGAGCAAGAATTAGGGACAGCTTCAGATTTTTTAGTTTCAGCCACTTGTTTGTTGCGTTGTGTTTTAGAGAATTCAAATGGCCTGAACATTCGTTCCCTTTGATAGCTCTCGAAACTGGTATTAAAAGACCTCCAATAAGACCAATTCATCAACTTGTTCTGCACTTCAGCTGGCCTGGCACTGCTTGCTAATCACAAATTCCTTGCATGCATGTTGAAGACATACTCTTACTCCGTGTCATGGGTCCCGAGAGCCTTTGCTGTGGTCTCCCCTCCATTGCTCTTGTAGCGACCTGCAATCAACGGCCTTGTGTTTATCACCTCCAGTTTGCCCTTTTTCAGGCAGAGCATACTGGTCCCTTTTCCATCTTCTGTTGTATTGGGTCACCTTTCTGTGTCTTAGCCCACAAATCTACGTCCTTGAAGCGTGGGTGCCTCAGGCTGAGCACAGGGTGCTTCAGTGTCATCATCTTGGCTCTGGTTTTCCCGCCATATTTTACCGAGGCTTTTATCATCCTTGATCTTTGCTCTCTACCTTTGCTTACCCTCAGCTTCATCTTTGAAAATTAAGCTTCTTATTTTGAGATAATTACAATTTCACATGTAGCGGAAGTATTAATACCCTTCACCAAGTCTCCCTCGGTGGTGACATATCCCACAATACTGCTGTGCAGTGTCATAAACAGGTTATCAACACTGATGGTCAAGATACAGAGGGACTGCCGAAATATTTTGACTTTCACGTTCCATCCCTCTCATTTTCCTTACTCGCCTCTTGCTTTTCTCCCCTCACTCTATATAGTCATTGTCCCAGGGATTTAACTGAATCAAGAATCCTAAAAGACTTACCTTCTCTTTGACAGGTTGGCTAAATTCTCATGTTGTGAGGGTCCCTGGGGATAGCGACTCCCTTTTTTATTTTCTTTAAATCACTTGCCTAGAATAAATATCATTTGGATGGCTTAAGGTGGCCTTAAAATTCATGGGGGAACCTGATCTGCTGTGAACTCCGCTTGCCTTAATTTCAGGCAAGTCACATTCGGGTGAAGAATGTGTGGGGGCTGCTATGCTACTACTCCTTTGAGACCTAAGAGCCCTGATCAAAGGCACTTTCCCCCCCAAAGGACAGTTCTGCACGGAGGATGTAGACGAGTGCCTGCTGCAGCCCAACGCCTGTCAGAATGGAGGCACCTGCACCAACCGCAACGGGGGCTACGGCTGCGTGTGTGTCAACGGCTGGAGCGGAGACGACTGCAGCGAGAACATCGACGACTGCGCCTTCGCCTCCTGCACGCCGGGCTCCACCTGCATTGACCGGGTGGCTTCCTTCTCCTGCATGTGCCCAGAAGGAAAGACAGGTGAGGCCGGCGGAAGGGCAGAGCTGGGCACTAGGGAAGGGACCCCTGGGCATCCAGGGTTTCTGCCTCCTTTCATTCCGGCAGCTGTGTCCTTGTAATTACCACCGGTAGGCACATATCACTCAAGGTTGTTCTGGAAACGTAATCGCTAGCCAGGGTGCTAGGAAGTTAGTCTTTTCCCTCATCACTTCTGGCTGTCATCTCAAGTCTATGTACCACAGTTTTTCATCCTAAAAAACGAGTTAGTCGCTATTGCCTTGGGAGCATCTATGGACCTCCTTAAGATCTTAGGCTGAAAAGCACCTCAGAAATTAAGACAAAATTACTATTAAATGGATGTAAGCACTTCATATTAAGAAGTCGCCCATTTACTCAGAAGGAGTAGGCAGGACGGAAGCATTTAAGTGCATTCCTGCTCTCAATGTCATAGAAATACTCCTCTAAGGGTGGATTTTTACTGACTTCAGAGTTAACATTGCTCTAGCCCCTCAGCGTAACAGCTTCTGGTTCTAGGCATAGAGAGCAATGAAGAGAAGAGTGTCGTGGAAGCAGGTAGCTTAGCTGAGAGAGCTTTGTGCCCAGCCACTCTGAAATGTTCTCATATCTATGCCTTTGCAAGGGCCCCACCTCCAGCTTTGTGGAAGACGCCTTAGCTACCTGTTCTTAACCTAATTGCAGAGTGGAAAATCCAGTTCCCATGTGAACTATGCAGAACATGGGGCCTGCTAATATCTTCAGAGTCCTGAGGGCACTCGAGCCAGGAATGTCGACACTATTAAAAGACTGCCCAAGCATAGGCTAATGATGTTCAGCTGGGTTTTTTTTTTTTCTTCTGGGGCTAGTGAAATGCCGGTGCCGCCATGATCACCAGGTAGCATGATTTTGGGAAAGTAGGTTGCCAAATAAAATACAGGATGCATGCAGTCTCCTCGACATAGAAGAAAATCATTTCTTGTTTACCTGAAATCACTGTTGAACTGGGCACCCTCTAATTTTGCTTGCTCAGTCTGGCAGCACGGTAGGAAGGTTATCACCATTGTCCTGTCTCTGTCATCTAACCATCTCATCTATGGCCTGTAGGAAACTCTGTCCTTGAGGAGGGGCCTAGCCCAGGGTTAGGCTGAGGACACCAGGGTTGTCTGCACAAGCTCCTTACTTTGCAGCATGTTCCTGAGAAGGGGTCAGCCAAGGGGAAAGTGGCCTCAGTCTCCGTAGCGGATTTTGATGAGCCAGTTTAAGGTTTTCCCTCCTCCGTGAAAGAGACAACTCTTCTCCAGTGGAGACATTTTCTCTTTGTTCTTGTGACAGGTCTCTTGTGTCATCTGGATGATGCATGCATCAGCAATCCGTGCCACAAGGGGGCGCTGTGTGACACCAACCCCCTGAACGGCCAGTATATTTGCACCTGCCCACAAGGCTACAAAGGGGCCGACTGCACAGAAGACGTGGATGAGTGCACCATGGGTGAGTTCACAGCTTTCCTCTCCTCGTGTGTCTGCCGAGCTCAGCGCATTTAAGCTGAAGCACATTTTACTCTAGGAGCATGTTTTCCCCAACCTCAGATCTCCTGTTACATGCCCACTGTTTACAACTGTCCTTTCAGCGAATCGTATATTCTATTCTGAGAACAGAAACATATGGGTGGTCTGTACTCATTCTTAATGTAAAGCCCAACCCTAGAGACAGTTTGGACAAAAGAGCAGCAGAGACGCATGAGTTGAGATTGCCCTAATTAATTTGTTCACAAGAAGATAGGAAATGGAGAAGCAGGCCATGAAGTACCTGGCCCTAATGATTGTAACAATGAGACCCACATCTGTAGCCCACACTTAGGAAACTCTGCCGTGCTCTGATCCTGGTCGTTGGCTTTGTCTCTTTCAGCCAATAGCAATCCCTGCGAGCATGCAGGAAAATGTGTGAACACGGACGGTGCCTTCCACTGTGAGTGTCTGAAGGGCTATGCAGGGCCTCGCTGCGAGATGGACATCAACGAGTGCCACTCGGACCCCTGCCAGAACGACGCCACCTGTCTGGATAAGATTGGAGGGTTCACTTGTCTGTGCATGCCAGGTACTTGGGCCCATGCGAGTGTGGGGTCTAGACAGGAGAAACTAAACTGTGCCTCTCTTAGGGGGAGCACTCAGGACAGCGTGGCCATACCATGAGCCCTGTCAGCATCTCCTTCCCAGTAATGACAGGGCTCCCAGCCAAGGGACCCTTGAGGAGTGAGGCTGTCCTAGTGTCTTAGGGCTGGGAGGACCCAGTTAAACAAGCCCAAAACTCAGATACGTGTAACGGAAGATTTCAGAAGGGAATGTTTTTATGCAAGTATTCTTGAATAAAATTTTTACCATAAGAATCTTTTAAATAGCAAGCTTTCCTGATTCCCTTACGTATTGCAAATACCATGCCACTCCATTTATAGAATTAATTTTACCCATTGTTACATTGGGACCTGCCATTTCTCCCTGGTGATGACACATGATTAATTAGTTGTGTGCTGGAGCTCTTCTGCAGACACTGTTTCTTGGATGGTCAGAGAGCACAGCTGAGTGCAGTGCACAGTGAAGGCTGACAGTGCCTGGGGGCCTCACTAAGGATGCCAGTCACTGTAGCCCAGGGAGGCCTCCTGACCTTGACTTGCACCCTGAGAACAGCAGCATCTCTGACTTAGCTGGTCTTTGGGAACAAGCAGTGGGGATCCCCCAGTGGGGTTCCTGAGAGCAAAGCCCAGACTGGTCAGAGAATGTGGCCTAGTTTCTGTTGGCCTCTAGGTGTTACCAGTGTCTTTGGAGGTAACTTCTTCCCCTGTTCACAGTGACATGGATGTCCCAGAGGATTCCCTGTGGGATCTAACTGTCACCATCGTGGCATAGTCCCCTGTCCTCTACAGAAATGTCCCTGCTCATAGAGCACGTCGTCATTTTCGCAAGTTTGTGCTTCCTTGGCTAGAATATACCTTTCTCTCTTTCTAAGCCACTTGTGTGGTTTGTTTTGTTCAGGTTTCAAAGGTGTGCATTGTGAGCTGGAGATAAACGAATGTCAGAGCAACCCTTGTGTGAACAATGGGCAGTGTGTGGACAAAGTCAACCGCTTCCAGTGCGTGTGTCAGCCTGGTGAGTGCCCACCGCCTGCCCCTGTCGTCTTTGAAAGCACGAAGCTGACTGACCCCAGGGAGGAGGGGAGAGGCGGGGGGAACGTGTGTGGGCTGTGCATGAGGAAGTCATCCGAGGGAGCATTCAGCAGAGGAGAGGGTGTACAGACACGGGGCGTTTGCTGCAGCTAGTGTGCCTTTCCAGCCCTCTGCTGCCGGAAGTCCAAGTCTGTTCTGAAAGGCCCGTGACCTCTGTGTCTGTGCGTATATTTCAGAAAGTGCGTATCTCACAGAGGCTTTAGTTTCAGGCTCTTCAGGACTGTGTTCTCCCCCACCACGGGTCACAGTTCTCCCCCCGTGGGTGAGATTATTATTTTTAGACATTTCACCTCCGAGTCTAGAAACAAACAACACAAATCAGTTTTTCCAAAGAATGCTCCGCCTCCTCTTTTGCTCCCCAAAGCTATTGTTGAAGACGTGCCAAAAGTTCTGCCAGACGCTGGAGCGTCTTCCGTTGTTTTCAGAGAGAGGGTCCCAGTTCCTCCGACGCTACACTCACTTGTTGGAGCGCTTCCCCCGTAACCATTCCGTCCGTTTTAACTGGAAGTGAAATGTGTGTGGGGAAGAAACAGAGGTAGACACACACATAGGTGCCTCTGGTGACCTGAGCGTCACCCAGTTATCCTGTTTTCCTGCTGGGGGGGAGAATTTTACTTTTGCTGACCCTTTGGTGTAAACCCTGCCAGTAACAACCCAACGCTTCTCGGGCATCATTCTGCTGGCGAAGGAGCACATAGGATAATCTTGTGCCTGTGTCACCCCTGTGCCCTTTCAAGGTTTCACTGGGCCGGTTTGCCAGATTGACATTGATGACTGTTCCAGTACTCCCTGTCTGAATGGGGCCAAGTGTATCGATCACCCGAATGGCTACGAATGCCAGTGCGCCACAGGTAAGATTTTTCTCATTTTTTGCTCCCCCGGTAGGTCCACCTGAGCAAGCAGGAGCCTGTCCCCTTCCAGCTGCCCTCCCAGGCCAGCCTCTGAAAGGGGCTGTTCTGTGTTTAGGGAGATCCTCTTCCAGAATATTTTTTGCTGCTCTGTTTCCTTCCACAACACCTGCCCCTTTCTCCACCACAGTGGTGGCCTGGCCTGGACATTTCCATTTGGTGTCCATGTCCTTTTGGGACAGATTTTGGCAGCAGTGAGTTTCCAGCTGGCTTGACCGACTCCTTTGGGAAAGGGAAGAATTCCCGTTGAAAGTGATTTTTCACTGGGGCTTCTCAGCAGGAGGCTTGTTGCTGTGTTTCTGGAGGCATGTGATTGTACAAAGGCCCAGAAATCTAAGGGCTATTGTGTGCAAACGCAGAGGCTTCCTGCATACAGGACAGTCCCGCCATGGGAGTCAGGTGTCCCTCAGAACAGGCGAGAGAGAGTCCGCTTTCCTGCATTCTGCTACCAGAGTGAAAAGGACTCTGTTTATAAATGTTCTGCATTTCTGACCTGTGGCCATGTTTCCCGTTTGGGAGTGAGCTGAGCCAGCCAAACATCCCCTACTACACATTTGCCTCTGCCCGGACCAGTACTGTAGAAATGGACGAGACATGATTAGAAAAGGTGATTTCCCAAATTTTTTTTATCCCACTGCCCAAGAGTGAATGAAGTGAGGAGTATAATTCAAGACCTATTTCTTTATTTTAGAAAATGGGTTCTTAAACAATTTAAAACACTATGTGCACTTTTTTCTGATCACAGAAAAGCAAACTATGCCATGAAAATAAAGAATATTTCCGTAGCACCGGAACATGACCACTTTGGGGCCTCCTTAGGTGAGGCCCTGTCCAAGGAACCACTTCATTCCCTTCTCTCCGCACCAGCTGCTGTCTCTGGTGGGAGAAGTTCCAGGTTCTGTCCTCGGGGGCCAGGTTACGCTCATGGGGAGTAACCTTCACGGGAGAGAGGTGAAAAGGGAGGAGAGCCTACATGGAGCCTCCTAGGAGAGATTTAATGTCACATGACGGGGTTTTTATTTTTCCCATCTGTTTAGCTTTAACTTGTTCATTTATTTTACTCAACAAGTATTTACTGAAAACTTACTATATATGCACAGTACTCTGGGAGCAGTTGAGAGGAATAAAGGAAAGTTATCTGTTCTCTGAATATAGTACCTATGTATTAGGTTTGGGGGGGAAAGGAATTTAGAGGTGAACATATACAGGAGAAATATTGAGAGCTATTAGCCACCGAAGCCCAGTACGGAGTAAAGATGCAATTGGAGCATCTCTACCATGACACCATCGATCGCTTGGGAAAAGGTATTTGAATTCTACGAGTTTGGCTTGAAGAACTTTATTTTAAGCACAGCTCTCTAGCCCGCCTTCTAAGTCAGTCAGGGCCAATAGTTTCAAGTGCTGGTTCCTGCAGGATGTGTCGAGGCCTGGGAGGAGTCGGGCAAGGGGATGTGGCCACGTGCACGTTCAGGTGGGAAGGATCTGCCTTGGGTTTTAAGCCTCCTTGGTCAAATTCCTTCCAAGGGTTCACTGGCGTGTTGTGTGAAGAGAACATCGACAACTGTGACCCGGATCCCTGCCACCACGGCCAGTGCCAGGACGGGATCGACTCCTACACCTGCATCTGCAACCCAGGCTACATGGGCGCCATCTGCAGCGACCAGATCGATGAGTGTTACAGCAGCCCCTGCCTGAACGAGGGCCGCTGCATCGACCTGGTGAACGGCTACCAGTGCAACTGCCAGCCGGGCACGTCGGGTAAGCCCGCTCCCGCTCTTGCTCCGTCTCCTTTGGGGTTTCCGCTACTTCTCAAAAACAGTCTACACAGATGTCTCAGACTTTCTTGGCACGTCCTTAGACACCTAAAACGCAGTCCTTTTTTCTGAGAAGCACAGCCAAAGCCACAGCCAGAAACATCTCAGAGGGAGATGGCTCTAGCCAGGGAAGAAATTAGAGACAATAGGTTTACAAAGCTGGTGATTTTATGTATGTGTTTTCCCTAAAAGGAGGCATACCACTTCAAAAAAACTGAAATAATTATTTAAAGTTGAAAACCTTCTTGCTTTCGTGGCTGGATTTTATTGTCTTGTTTTTTTCTATAACCTCCGCCACAGGCTAATAAAGTTGTCCCATCTCCCTTCAACCCCACACCCGGTCCCTTTAGTTCACCC